CCCCAACCCACCCCAGTCCCTCCCTCCCAAGAGCACATGCATTCTATAGCAATTAACGACACACTAATTGTTAGTACTGTTATTATTATTGCAGTACTTGGGGTTCAACTCAAGGGTGCCCTACTACTGAGCTACATTCCCCAGCCCATTCTATTTTTTATTTTAGAACAAGGTCTCACTATGTGCCCAGGCTGCCTTAAACTTGTGATCCTCCTACCCCAGCCTCCTGAGTAGCTAAGATCACAGGCATGTGCCACCACAGCTGCCTATATGGATTAATTATTTTTGAATATGATCTGTGATATGCTAGAAAGAGAAAAGAGTATAACCAGATAAGAAATCAATTGTAGGGGCCGGGGAGATGGCTCAGTGGAATAAGCGTTTCCCTGGCAAGCGCAGAGGCCTGAGTTCAATCCCCAGTTCTGCAAAAAAAAAAAAAGAAAGAAAGAAAGAAAGAAATCAACTGTAGATCTTGGGTTAGCTATATGTAGAAAGTATAACCTAAAGGAGGAAGAAATCTGGATTATGAATCATGAAATAAAATAAAAGTTGGTGACACCCAGCTTTACTTAGTTTCTTCTCTGACTAAATTCGAGGCCCAGCCCTAGCATTAAATAGCTTTGCGATCTTGGGCATGTTACTAAATCTCTCTGAATCTTAACTACTTTGTAGGTTTAAAAAAAAAAAAAATGACAGGCTGGGAATAGTGGCACTTGGGAAACTGAGGCAGGAGAATCCCCGTGAGTTCGAAGCCACACAAGATTACACAGTGAGTTTGAAGGCAGCCTGAACTGCATAGTGAGACCCTGCCTCAAAAATCATGATCCCAAGGAACACAACACACACACACAAACACACACACACACTGACAACTCTGTCTACTTAATGAGGATCAAATAAGCAAAAAGAAACAGGTGTGATGTAGCCCAGCAAGCGCTCTATACATCTTATGTGTTATTGTTACCATTCTTATGAAAACGTGGCCAGCAGTCCCAATCACAACAGACATAAGAACAGCTCAGAGGATGAATCTGGGCACACAGGAGCTGGGATTTATGTTTCCGAGTGCCTTGCTCAGGAATTCACTGTTTTTATTGATCTAAATCTCCCTCTGAGTATTAGAATCCTGGCTGTATAAAATTTTAACCATTTCTCCCAACTTCTTTTTTGCTTAAATAGTATCTAGTTCAAGCCAGCTGAGAAAGAAAAGTATATTGGACATCCATCTGTCTGTCTGCTTGTCTGTCCATCCGCCCATCCATCCGTTGGTCTAACACTATGTGATTCAAGTGTCACACACTGCTACAGAAAGTGACTCATGAGGAGGTGTGCTCCTGGCAGAAATGGGACAAGGGGCAACGGGAGAGAGGCGGGTTGGTTCTTAGTTATGCTTTGGGGAGGTGGCAGGGATGGAAAATGCTTCCCAGAGGGAACGGCCTTTCTGCTGGCCTTGAAGTGTGAGTCAATTCCACAGGGAGGCAAAAGGCAGGGCAGTGGCGTCCTGGACAGGAATGGCATGAACAGCACAGGCCAGAGGCCTGAGCACACCCCTTGGTCTTGCTGCCTGTGGCTCGGACTTTGGGGTGAGCAAGGAAGTGTGCATGAGGGCAGAAACAGGGCTAAGGCCCTACGGGAGAGGCTTGAACCCCACAAACGTGATCATGCATCCCTGAGTAACAAGGGGGAACAGCAGATTTTTTTAGCAAGAACATGCTATGATCTGTTTTGAAAAAGTTGCTCGTCTCTGCAACAAGACTCGAAACAAGTCCAGGAGCCTGACCGTCCCTAACACCCAGCTGAACACATGCAGAGCTCAGCAGAGAGCAGACAGAGGAGATGACGGGCCTATGGCAGGGGCAGGCAGACAGCTGACCCTTCCGGAAGGGCGAATGGAGAGGAGAGCCTGGCAGGACGTGGAGACAACATGCTGGCTACTTCCTGGAGCAGCCAGGCTAGGCTGAGTCAGCAAAGAGAAACAGCACAATCAGAAGGAGAAGCTGGGGTCTTTCATGGGAAAGGAAAATCAGGAAGAAACTGGATTTTAGATGGTTGATACCACATGGAACCAAGAAGGCTCCCTAAGCTCCCAGCTGGCCCTTCTGCGCAGCCCTCCAGTCAGGACGTGCACACACCCACATTCTGGCTCCCAGAAGTGTCTCCCCAGCCATGAGGCAATCATGACTCATCATTGCCCAAAGTTCCCCAGCTGCACCTGGCCAGAGCTCCCACATGCAGGCAGTGAGAAGGCGCACAGTCCACACACAGTCAGGCTATGTGGCCGTGGGTGGAGGTTAGCAGCATCCTCAGCTTCCAGGGGAAACCTAGCCTGTCTCAGGTCACAGGAAATGTGCACACTGAGCCCAGGAGGTAGATACAACCCCCAGCAGAAGTCCTATGTAGCATCCCATCTCTGCTCTCTGCTGGGCTACGTGAACCCACACTAGTAGGCAGGGTCCGCTGTCCTCATATACTGGGCCCCAAAATCCTGTAACAAGAGTTGTGTTTTGTTTTTCTTCTATTCTGGTGTTGAGAGTCACTGAAGCTGGAAATTGGTCATATGTGCGAGGGCAGGACAAAACCACAGTGCTTAAAGCAGTCAAGCTACCTCAGTCTTAGAAAAGCATCCTGCCTGGACAATTTTGGCTATTAGTTGCTAGGCAACCTTGTGTCTCAAGATACTAACTTTGCAAAGTTATAAATAAATGCTCCTATTGTTGTTCTTTAGGTCCTTTCCCACTCAGGCAAGCAGGCCACCACCTGAGCTTAGCTATTAGGTCATCTTTATTTTCTAAATTCTCTCTCTTTTCTCCCAGGGACCACTGAGAAACCAACCAATCCCAACACTCTAGGAAGAGGAATAGCAAACATAGTGTCTACACCAGAGCACCTGTTCCATATCCGGCATGTCCTCCTGCTTCTCTCTAACCCTTACAACAACTGTGCCAGGTAGCTGGTATAATTTGCATCAAGACTGAAAAACCGAGGTATCCTGGTTCATAACAGAGCAAAGAGGGAACCCCAGCCTGGCTGATCCAAGCCAGCGGTCCCCCCACTGCAGTGCGCTTCCACAGACACAAACCACACAGTGATCCTGGTAGCTTCCTGGACTCCTCCAACTCTGCCAGCACCATCGGAGAAAAGACAAAGGAACTCATGTGGAGGTGGCTGCCTGGAGCCAGCAAAGATAAGAGAAAACAGCAGGTTAACTGTCCCTGGCATCACGAGGAAGGAGACACAGATATAATCAGACAGAGCAGGAGGTGCTCGGAGCATGACCACTCCAAGGCCTAAAGGCCTGCCCAGGCGTCTCCCTCCATGGCCCAGTTTTACCCTGGGAAATTCTACAAGATGGAAAGAATTTCTCTATAGGAAAATTCAAGCTCCATGACAACTAGTATCAGGAAGGGGGACCATGCTGGCATGGCTACTGTGGGACTGCAGCCACACCAAACCCTGCACGGGCCAGGTCCTCACACCACAACCTGGGCTTATATTCTCTCTCTCTCTCTCTCTCTCTCTCTCTCTCTCTCTCTCTCTCTCTTTCTGTCTCTGTCTCCGTCTCCATCTCCGTCTCCCTCTCTCTCTCTCTCTCTCTCCTCTGCACTGTCTCAGGCACCCAATCTATCTCAGCTGGAGCCACTCTTCCCCTTGGTAACAGCCTCAGCTCTCATTCTACAGCTATCCACCCTTCTCCCAGATGGCGGGCTCAGCGCTCCTGGCCC